AGGTGCGAGTGTGACTAGGGAGAAAAGCTACATCAGAACATCCAACCCACACCCCACACCCACTCCAACACCCACACCCACACCCACACCCACACCCACACCCACACCCACCCACACCCCAGTTTCTTCGTGTTCTAAATGAATTTAGTCAAACATTTTGTACCGTTTCTTACCGATCAACAATAATATTTCTACCATATTGATTAATCTTAATATTCTGTATTTTCTATATCTCTATGAGGATGTGAGTGTGGGAGCGTGTTTCTCAGTATATTTACATCTACACCCTTATACAAAACAAAAAAATGTCAAAAGAGAGTGTTTGAGCTTGATATAACTTCATTGTTTTTAGAAGATAGGAACACATTAAGATTACTTTCAGTTGGTGACAGTTTTAGATCATTCTTCTTGATTAGATCGATTTGAAAATACTAGAAAGAAAGAGTATATCGAATAGTTCTTATGAAATTGGTAGAGATTTTCACAGTTATTTCACAATGTTTGTTTCTATATGAAAATAAATTGATATTTCCACAATCATGTAAACATATTTACAATGGTAACCTAATATCATTTATGAGTTTGATATGGGAATATATCTATAAATCTATTCTTTTTCATTGTTTAACGATAATAGGCATTATCTTAACCATTATAAATATGTTTTCTTATTTATGAAAATGAAAAACAAACCGAAGGCTGAATGATTTTTATTTCTTTATAATAATCAATGAATATATAATAAAATTCTGAATAGATTGATCAAATAAACTGATTGTTACATGTCAATAAGATTTTATTTTTCATTTAAACAAGGAATCTTTATTTGAAAAGTAGAAAGATTTCATTAACAATGTCTAGATTAAAAAAAGAGAATACATAAAAAACAAATTTAAATGAAATACTTCAGATTAAATACATGTAAACAAATCAGAATAGAAACTTTATAATATTATTTCTATTTAATATCGATATTTGTTTGTATAGTGCATTTTTGATCATTTTAAAAATCGTTTTAACAGCCGATACAGAAAGAATAAGAATGACATATATAACAAGTAAAAACGTGCCATACAAAGAAATGTTTTATAGGGTATAAAACAAAACATGTTAAATAAAATTACACTTTTCTTATTATAGCCTTTTGGAAGTTGATCCATTTCTATCTGTGGGATGATTTTAAATCCAAATATGTTATGAAGAATATAACAAATATGATAATAACTCTCTTAGTAATCAATTCAAATACAAAATGTATTTTAAAACTCAATACTCTATGGATTATAATAATAACAATACATATTTAATATCAAGAAACAATAGTTCATAATAATAAATAAATAAACAAACTTGCTACATGGTCAATAGCATAGATGACATCACTTAAGAGAAGAGTGACAAGAATATGAAAAGTTCTCAATTGATGGAATCGAATCAGTCGAAACACTGAACTAATTCGAGTAAAAATATTTTCCTCAACAGATTATTTCGAGCTAATTATTCAAATTTAGTTTTTCACCATAGAATTTATTTGATTTACTCATTATGTAATGTGTTTTTTTGTCTAATGTCTACAGAAAAAATCCAATATATATTTCTTGAATTCGCCGTGAGTGATATTGTATAATATTTAGTAGAAAAAAAAGAACACTTTCTTTCTAATGACTGATTGACTCAACTAGTGAGAAATTATTTTTGTAAGAGAACTGTATATCTTTATGAATTAAGAAAAAAAAAACAAAGTACATATATCGATAAAGTAAATTTGTTTACTTTGACGAGAGTATAAATCATAATTTCTCTTTAGCAGATTAGTTAACATCGCTAATCATCTAAATATTTTATCAGTATTAAGGAGTAGAATGTAGATGTGAGTCACTCGGTGCAGATGAGTATCTCTCGAACCAAGAAGAACATTCGATTCCACACTCACATTCTGCTAGGCGACTATGAACAATAATACTGAATATTTGTTTCTTTTTCATCGTCGAATTAATTCATATAAATATTTGTTCATGTCGAATAAACTTTTCTTTTTAAAATATTATTCAATATAAATATAATGGTAAATGTTCATTGATCTCATAAAAGAAAATTCAAAAAGATGCTATTGTTATTAATACAAATCTCATAGAAATACTAAATACTGGAAAAATAAATTATGTCATTTTTCAGCAATGGTATTCTTTTATCACAAGCATGAATTATAAGCATACGTCGACAATCCAACCAAATAATTCAATGTCTTAAGTTAAATAGGCTAATGTAGAAACATCCTATGAGAAATGAAAAGAAATTAATAGGCAAATATAAATATTATTGAATAGATTTCCAGTTATTCATAATAATCAATGTGAAAATATTATTGTACTCAATGACTTCTAGATCATAGTCTAGAGTTTTTATCTGAACTATATTATTTGATTTCAAATTTCATATATAATCAATTTTATTATACAGATTTTTATCGATCATGTTAGAAACGAGTTTATTCATTAAATGATCCATATTAAGAGTTACATTTAAATAGAAAATTCTTTTCAAATTCAAAAATTTAACTAAAATAATCAGAGATATCAATAAAAACAAATAAGATGTTTGTATATACATATAGAAAATCAATTCAATTTGTTTTTCAAGAGTATTTAATGTTTAGTGAACATTTTTCTTTTCTCAAATAGATATCAAATATGTTGATAAGTTATTTTATTAAATAAATATAAATTAGAAATTTCAAATAGAATGAATTCAATTGGTTCTCTCTTGTTTCTTTGAATAGAATCAAGAATTATACTTCAAAATCCATAAAATCTCGTTAGAGATTAGTTTTTTGTTATTAAATCATGCTGTTCATTCACAATAGATTCACATACAGCTAATCTGATTGATGATTTATGTCTTTATATTATATGAATATCTGAACAATAAATTCATATATAATGAGATGTATTCTGAATGTATTTCAGAACAATTATATTAGAAGTGATTTGATATTTGTATAGAGAGATTATCAATAAAAATAAATTAGAAAACAATCGAAAAAGTATTATTTATACGGTCTACCAAGATCTTTAACGTCTAAAAGGGATTCATAGCAGATCTTAATAGATTATGCTCTAACAATTTTCAATTAATTCGTAATTAATGCTTTTTTTTCGAATTATTTTGTAATACATGCACGTCACTCAGTGTTTTTTATTGAATAACTAATTAATCAATGAAAAAAAGTTTTAATGAGATATTGATTTCTACATGCGAGATCAACTCTCATCATTGATTGGTTTTTGAAGTACTTTCAATGACTCATTATAACTAATTTAGTTAACGATTTCAAGAGATGTTTCATACTGATTTAAAAAACATCAACGATCAACTTAAAACATATATATATATATATATAATCAATCATAATCAGATTTAACCACATGATAGATCTACTACTCACTATGTATTTACCATCTAATCAATCATAACAACAATATATGTTATTATTACTGAGTCTCATAAATTCCATTAGTCGTTATAGTTCAAATATTAATTATCTGTCTGATCGTTGGTAGTCAAACCTTTTTGACGTAAGTCACAAATCGAAACTTAAATAATTGATGAAATCTCATTGTTTATTTTAGTGAATTGATATCCTATGTCTAATTTTAGAATGAGACTACTTCTGGAGTGATTGGTAATTCACAGAGGACATTCATAATTAGCCTAATGTCTATCTGTTCATAGTGACACATATTCCACACCTTATATCACACTTTACACCGTTCTACATCCATATTTTCTCGTTATATTACATCTACACTCATACCAAGAACTGCGAACACGAGAAAATTATATAATCCAATAGTTTATCAATCATTTGATTCAATATTATCTAAATAATAATTGTTATTCTGGAGATTAAGAAAACGATCGTTCAATTTCAATTATTTTTTTTTTGTATCCGTTGATTATTAAATGATAATTGTGCATACTATTGTTCGATTTTGCATCTTAATATAATTCATTACAATAAAATTAATGCAAAAATTTCTATTTAACCTAATGAAATTGAATACCGCTGTCTTCAGACAAAAAGACAAATAAAACTGGTGAAATCGACCAAATTTTAAAAATCAAAATGGTTGATTGGAACTTTGACACAAATAATCAAAGGTAACCATTCTGTTTTGAAACATAGAGAAAAGATTCTGTGTTTCTGTAGTATTCTCCATATATTCCTTGGGCTGGTACCAAATCATTGTAAAATTACCGTCATCCTTGTTACATTCTTTTTATAATATATCGAGGAAGCTACAAAAACAGTGAATCATTCTTGCATTTTTGAAAACAAGAAAAGTCAGCTTCATTTTCTATAGAGTTTCTAATCAAACATTTTCATTTGTAAGATTCGGTCGATTTCACCATTCTTGCATTTTCTTCAGTCTAAAGAGTACATTATTCAAGAGGTTAAAATGTTTATATTCAGTAAAATATATCAGACAATTAACAGAATCGATCATGAAATATTTCTCTTATTTTTCTGTTTACTCTGTAATACTCTTTCAAGAATAATCATCAAGTATTTTTGATTATCAATATGTATGGAGAAATTATGATAGAGTGATCGTAATCAATAATATCATAACGAAACACTCTGATGAAAGATAGTTATTTTATACTTTTCTATATTTCGTTAGTAATCATTTTCATTCTTCCTTGTTCTTCAGTTAGTTAATTGTTCAAATCTGTACAGTATTGAATAGTATTGATCAAGATGATTACATATCTCTTTCATAATAGAAAAAAAAAAGGATATAAATCGCTAGCATGTAATTTTTATCGATAATAAAACTACGATATTAACGCATACAACAAAGAAAGATTTTATCTTCCTTCCATTTAATGATTGTATTTTATTTCATAGGGTAAAGATTAAAAATGGGAATCGATTTTTCATATATTCATGTTATACTCTTCACTTAAGTACTATGTTTACGAAAGTATAAAGGAAGTAAAATATTAGTCATCTATCAAATATCAAAGATAAATAACTTAATACGAAAGTGGGAATTTTCCTCGTATTAAATAACAATGAGCACAAAATGAATAAGTTTTGATAAACAACCTATATAGTTTATAAGAAGCGCAAATTTCTCTATGTATGTTATGTAGTAACTGACTGACAGATAAATTCATCATAATAATATTTTTTAGGGCCACAGATCAGAAATTCCGAAGAATAGGTCTCTATACGTATAATTTTTATTTTTATTTTTTCTTTAAATATGTTAAACTCCGTCTACTATATCATAGAAAATATCACATAAAAGATGATCGAATAGTTCGATGGCAAGTGAATAGTTCACTCAGCAAAAATTTATTAGAGAAAAACAGTAGAAAATTTAGTATGAGACCAAGATAGAATTTATTATTAGATCAGAAGAGAAGCTATTAGTTTCAAAATGATTTTACTTTTTATTTGATATGATTGATCGTCGTACGATAGATACATCTGTCGATCATCAATTTTCGATTGAAATCAAATATTTTACTCCTTTGATTATTTATTGAGACATTAGAATAGAATGAAATGTATACATTGATCAGATATTGTTAGCATCAGATTATGCGCTAGATTTATTTTATCTTTTCAGTAAATTATCTAACGTATAGTACAAAATCAAATAATTATTGATGGTAACATAATAAATTAAGAACAAATAGTGTTAATAGTTCATTTCAGATAGAATTTCATCTAGGATATAAAATGAATTTGTTTAACATATAAGCCATTTTATTTTTTTTAACGGTACCAAACGAGGCATTTTTTCAAACGAATAGGTTTCCTCATACTCACAATAAACAAGATCTTAACTCTTTATATAATCAATGAATAACATCACTTCAAGAATACCGTCGACCGTTAGAGATAAAGCCAGCTTTAGGTGTTGATGTTGCTGGACATTTAAATAAATTGGGTATAAATCATCGTGGTCAGGTAGCAACATTAGCCGATGGTCAACGTTTTCTCGTTCATAAGGGACCTGGTTTTGGTCACAATTCTGAAACAATTGCTGTTGACGCAAAGTATATGTCAAATTCGTGGAAACCACATGGTTCTTCGATTTCGGCTGGATCCCAATCAGTCGGATTAGGTGATTTAATTAAAGCTGGTGGAAAAAACTATGATGTTCTTACAAACAATTGTATGCACGGTTCTTGTCAAATTAAACAACGATTTGAACAAGGCAAATAAAAAAAAAATATATTTTATTTGTTTCATTTTACCAGAGAACATACGAATAGGGTGTGGGTATGGGTGTGGGTGGGTGTGGGGTGTGGGTATGTGGGTATGTGGGGTGTGAGTGTAGGTGGGTGTGGGTGGTGTTGGTGGGTGAGTGTGGGTGTGGGTGGTGGTGGTGAGTGGATGTGGATGAAAGTATTTTTCTTTCATCTACACCCGCGCATCCACACCCACACTCCGCACCCACACCCACAACCACACCCACCCACACCCGCACACCCACAACCACACCCACCCACACCCACACCCTGCCAACATTGAACGCTGATCCTCCACAATGCTTCATCACAACTCTCAGGTCGATTTAATATTTCTCCTCTCAGCTTCCGTTGGCAAACTTCATCCTCATTTTCAATAGATGCATATGACAATTGACCCTGGGAACAGGCCTCTCACATAAGTGCACCCATTGAATATATATCAGATTTTTGAGAATAAATAGGTCTATCTGTATCTTGAAGAAGTTCGGATGCAGCATATCGCACAGGAATAACTGTTAAAGTTGACGATCTTGTGCTACTGGTAACTGAATAGAATGTACTAGCACGTGTAAAACCAAAATCTGTTAAGTTTACTAAATTTCGTCGAGGCTCAGAGTTATCCATACGATAAACGAGTACATTACGACAAGCTAGATCACCATGTACAATACCATTATCAGCCAGACATATCATTGCATCAACAATCTGTAAAAATATTTTTAATAGGACTGCTTGCGATGGTCGAAATTTATTCTCTTGTAAAAGCTCTGAAAGGTCTCCTTTAAATGCACATTCTTGTAACAGTAGAAGACTATTGGAATCACTTTCGACTAGACCATAAATACGCACGATGTGAGGATGACAGCTAAGTTGAACATAAAACTCAGCTTCACGACTCGCTTAGGCACCATTAATTTTAAGTAGGCTGATAGATGGGCCAGGTTTTGATATCCATTTTCCTTTATAAATAATTTTACCAAAAGCTTGAAATAAAGGTCGTCCTTCAGATCTTTTTATATCAACATCAAGTTTAAAGTGATAATGTTTCTGAGATAAATTCGTTGAAAATTCATCAATTATCTGTTTGATAGTGTAATTAGGTCTCAAAGAATTGATTGCTATGGGTTTGTCCGTAGTTGGACTTGTGCCATATTTTCTAAACCATGCTTCGAGAGCTTCGCGCTCATAGGTATATCCATCTTCTGCAATAACTGAGATGTGGGTGGGTGTTGGCGAGTGTGCAAGTGGGTGTGGACGGGTGTGAGTGTATGTGAGTGTGGATGTAGGTATAGATCTTTTCTTTACTTACACCCACAACGACACCCACCATATCCGCACCTCACCCACGCCCCCACCCCACACCCACACCCGCATGCAATCGGTTCCTTTATAGTTACACTTTTTGCTATTCAACCAAGCGAAAAATATTACTTCGAATATAACGGTGTAGCAGGCGGTTCAAAAATATTTGGCTTTTGGGAAAAAAGGAAAGCGTGCTGGAAAAACTAGAATGCGTTTCAAAATGAAACGGTGGAGAACACACTGCAAAAAAGTGGGATGTGTTTTTCACTGTTCGATTTCGGAATGTATTCTAGTTTTTATCGAACGTTCCTTTTTCTAAAAGGAGTCAATTTTTTTCTGGAGCCCTTTGTTTTCCCTTTGGCCTGAGAAAGAATCCCTTCTTTGTTTCACAAAAAGCCTTTTCTGCTCACAGTGTATGCGTGCACCTTCGTGACCGAATAATATATCCTGAATCTGATGTGTTTCTGTCTTCCAAATGTGTGGCCTGTAGTTTGAGAAAATATAGAGATGACTGAGTAAAGTAAACTGGCAAAAATGGTCGAAACTGTATGAAGTAGCTTTATTCAACGCAATTTATTGTTCAAATGCGAGCCTAGCTACAAAAGAGCGTTCAGTTGTGACAAGTGCCAGCAATAGATTTCCAGCTTCCATTCACTTTGCACTTGCAAGATGTGTAACCAAATCCTCGACATGAACCAGTTACAGCGTCTATATTCTTGCCTATGCAATTGGCTTCACAGCGTGCGGAATTCCATGGACACCCGCAAGTGCCAGCCGATGCCACGTCTATCAAGTAAAAGTAAGCTAATATTTATAAGCTTTTCAATTCATTTCTCACATACCCACTGTAGCTCCAAGAATAAAAGCTGTTATTACGAGAAGAACGAAAATACGATGCATAGCAGTGAATTTTTCTTCGGTTTCAAAACGAAATAGTGTTTGTGTTTGAATTGAATAGCTTAGAGAAACAACCCTCTTATATACTTCTTCACGAAGATGATGATATGTATATCAGAGAGGAAGTGATGTCTCTTGTTTTTGTCTTGTTTGTGCTCGTTCTTTATTATGAAACTCGTAAATGTTTACGAACGAAATATGAGAAGGAGAAAAAGGAGAAAAAAAAGTAAAGGAAGATGGCAATAAAATGAAGGAACAAAGATAAATGTCAATAAATCACGATAGTAGTGAGACAAATGAAGTAGAAAATAGAGCCTTGCGAGGCAGCCCCGATAATTTTTCTGAACAGGGCAAATTAAATTCTAGACAATTGAAAAAAACACTGTTTCAAAATTTTTTACTATGCATATTACAGCGCCTAATACACTTAAAATTTCATATCTCTAATAAAGAGAATATGAAGGTGAGAATGAGGGTGTTAATAGGATTAGGGATGGCTCTTTAACACTATTCTACTTTACTCAAGTGAAGTGAAGTAAAGCATTTGGCTTTACTTTACCGAGTAGAGTAAAGTAACTTGCAGTGTATGTTGGGTGTGAGTGTGGGTGTGGATAAGCTAGCAGAGCACACCAACACTGTTTAATCCAGTCGAACAAAGATCAATGACGTTGTCATTCACGAACTGCTAGTCGGTGACGAAAAATGACCAGGCGACATCTTCACTTTGTAAAACTAGGTAGTCTTTAATTTTAGAACATTTTTCGAGCACCCTAACATCAATAGGATCATCATGTGACAATGAGAAAAACTATGTAGATGTGTCGAAAGATATTCTGTCCTTGCTGAGAAAATGTGGTGACACGGAGTGGCTATGCAATTGGCACAGTCGTATCCATTAACTGCCTATTTCTTTTTCCAAATTTCGACAGCCGTGACGTATTTCAGTAAAGAACAATGATCGTTTCAATAAAATTTATATATCATGCACTCTTCAGTAGCAAGAAGCGATTTTCTAGATTCCCATTGAAACTATA